GAAGCGAGAACAGAGAAGATTGGTATTTGCCTTAACTCCACTTAAAGCCCAGTTTGAGGATCCGTGAGGATTACATATGCGAGATCGAGAGGTCATTTGGAGGTCACAGAAGAGTCAGGTAGCTGAGGAAGTTGCATTGAATGCAGTTAGTTTTTCTTTTGGAGAGAAGCAGTAGCAGCAGTGACGTTCTGTAGGTTTCTCTGTTTCTTTCCCCTCTGTTGGCTGGCCGGTCGGTCGGTTAGCGTGATGCCGTTTCCAGAGGAGCTGGGGTGGCCGGCGTGCCGGAGCGCGACGCAGCAGCCGAGCCGGTTTCGCTGGGGCTGGCGGCCATGGTGGCCACGCTGGTGATGGAGGCGCTGACAGCCACCACATCCGGTTGAGCTGAGCCCACCCCTAAGCCCACCCCCTGGGAAGGGGCTGCGCCAGCGGAGGCCTGGAGGCCCTGCAGAGTCTGCCCACAGACGTGGTGGTGCTTCTCCCAATCCTTGTGCTGGCAGAAGGAGCCGCAGTAGCGGGCCGTGTTGCATCCGCTGCAGGTCTCGCTGGCCTTGCGCCCGCAGTTCCAGCAGCTCTGTACGAGAGGGCGAAAGCAGAGACATCAGCGTCGGGACGGTGCAGCCTGGAAGAGAGACCCAGCCCCGCTAGACACCCCCTGGGGGATGGAACCGTCCAAAGGATCCCGAGCACCCACTGAACACAAGAGACCTCTGTCTTAGGTCTTAGGTTCAGGCCCCCAACGAGTACAATTTCCCTGGCCGCTTTCAGGCAGTCCCCGGGCGGGTGGCACTAGTTAGATTTCACTGTATTGGATCTTTCTAAACCCTCAGTACCTGGGGGAAGGATGGGCCGAGCGTGGCGTGGGAGCTGGGATGCCCCCACGGTGCAGGGTGAATTGCCTGCTGATCTGGTTTAAAAACCAGGCTCCTGAGCTCTAAATGCTTGAACTCCGGGGTTGTAACGGGGCAGCCCCCTCACAGCAAGCTTCCAGCCCTGGCTCGCACGCTGGGGGCGCACGCGGTGTCAGCACGCCAAGGGTTAAACTCTACTACCCTAGCGAGCACTGCGCAGCGGGGCGAGCTCGCCTCTACCTCACTCGAGTCCTCCTGCTGATTGATCACCGTCAGCGCGTCCTCGGAAGCCTGGCGCTTGGCCTCCGCCAGGGCCCTCTCCATCTTGGCTCGCTCGGTAGTGATCAGCTCATGGGCCTTGCGCTCCGCGTCCGACACCGCCTTCTGGAGCTCGGACATGGCCTGGCGCTTCACCTCGTTCACAGCTTCTTCTGAAAGGAAGAGCACAGCTCATGTAGCGCAGCCAGCGAGCCGGCCCGCAGGGGCAAGCCACCAGCAGGAGACCAGATGGCAAGTCTGGGCAGCTGCTACCTGGGGTTTTGCTGTCAAGGTTGGGAGGCCTGACTTTCCATAACACAGCTGGCAGCACAGACCAGCCCTTTGCACACGTGCATACACACATGAACACGTACACACACGCATGTGCACACATGTGCGCAGACACATGAACACACCCATGCACACACACTGTGTGAATGCATAAATGCTCGTGCAAACGTGTGCCTAGCTCTCAGGCAGAAGAAGGGGGGAACTGCCAGACTGGCTCAGACCTATGGCCCAGCCAGCCCAGTATCCTGTCTTTAGCAGGGGGTAGCACCAGAGGCTAGGTGGTGCAAGAACCCGCCCAGAGTGTACAGCTGTGGCAGAAGCAGCCCATAGGGGGAAGTTTCCTCCTGACCGCTGGCAGCTAGGGGTTGGTTTCTACCCTGATGCACTCCTTCTAACTGCAGAGGGTCTTGTTATCCACATAACCATCTGTCAACCACAGCGCATGCTATGGAGGAAAAACACGTGCAGTGAGGGGTTCAAAAGGAAGCTTCTGGGAGGGCAGGGGCATCTTAAAACACTGTAAGGACACGGGGAGAACGCCTTGACCATGTTCTCTATCGCCTGTCTTTTACAGACTCGCCCAGCGCCGGCGCCAGGCTGAGCCACGGCCCATCACGCCCAACAACCAAGCATGAGCTTTTCTGAAAGCCTGGGCTGCCCAAGGACAGCAGCTTGGGTGCCTGCTCCAGCAGAGGGACGGCAGGAAATCCCACATGTCCACGGTAGGTCTTGGCAGAGAATCCCTCCATGGAGTTCAGATCCCCTCCTGCTCTCCCGGTGACGGGCCAGCCAAAGGCACAAACTAAACTGCAGGGAACAAGTGGGAGGAGCGGCCTCTGGGGTCCGGCACCATCAGAAACGATGGGAGCTTGTTCCCCCTCATCCCTGCCCTCCAGCCCCATGGAGTGCTCTACATGTAAGGGTGCCCCAGAGAGACGGGGCTAGAAAACTGGCCTACAGTGGGCGCAATCCTGTCCGTAAGCTCCCGAGTTCGGTCTGGGTGTGAAAGTCCCTATGGGACTCATCCAAGGCCCTCGGGAGCCAGTGGAAAGACTCCCATTGACTTCAATGGGCTTCGGATCAGGTCCCACCCCCCTCCCAGCCGCTGGTTCGGGGGACAAGGAAGGAGGCATAGGGATGACGTTTCCGTGTAACGCTCGCCAGTCCCCAGAGTGTCCTAATGAGCAGGGCTCCTTCCCCCGATCTCAGCCCCCGAAACACAGCAGGGGAATTCCACCGAGGCCCAGGCAATAGACCCAGGGATGCGTTTGGCCTCAGGCTCGGCCGGGCACGGTTTGGGCCCCCCGGACTGACCGGGCAGTGCCGCACCGGGCTGTGGACAGGGGATCCCACGGTGGCACACTCACCAGCTTTCCTCCAGATTTCCTCAGGCATGTAACCAGAGAGGGGCCTGGGCACAAACTCCCGGTGAGTGTCTGAAAACAAGAGGGGAGAGGAACAAATTGGAAGAAATGAAGCGTGTCCAACCTAACCAACAGCCCAGGAGAGCTGCGCTACAGTGCGGTCAGTGCTGAGACCGACAGCGACACAGTGGAAACCATCCCTGCCTGCTCTTGCCTCCAAGATACACACAGAGCTGCTGTGGGAGCTGCTAATGCCCTGGGCCGGGTTCTCCTCTGCCTGGCACCTGGCGCCGTGATACCTGGGCAAAGGGCGTGTCAAGTGCAACCCACTCAAAATGGTGCCTGAGCTGGCATTGGTGTGAATGACGACACAAGCGCAGGGCAGGGGGCCATTAGCTCTCTTTCACAGACGGGAGTACTCGGGTTGCTCTGTATTTGGTTTCGCTGCGAGGGTTTTAGTGGGCGGAGCAGGGTGAACTTCAGTGCCTGTAAAAGTGAGCCCTGGAACGTCCCAGCTAGACCCAGGCATAGTGCAGGCTTTGCTCACTCCGGCAAGAAACACCCAGGACGGCCCCCACGTGGCTCAGTGAATACATCTGTCTCGAGTAGATGCTGATCTTCGCTGGGGACCTACCTGAGAACTGGGCTCTCCTTCCAGTGCTTTCAAGGCTAGGGCATCCCCTGCCAGGCTCTCTCTGGAAGCCACCCACCTTTTGGTTTTTATTCGCAATACAATGCGCCTGGCAGCCCAGTGACCGCGGCGAGCTGTGGGAGGGACTCTAGCCTCCGGCGGTGATGCTTTGCAGAGGGAACGGGAATGGAGCGTCTCAGGGGAAGGGAACCACCAAGAGCTGGAGTGAAGCTCTCTGCCATCGGCACCCGGGCCCCAAGACCAGCAGGCATGAGGTCCTGCTGAGGGGATGGCTGGGGCGGGGGCGGGGAAGCCTTTTCCCTCAGTCGCTAGGGGCTGGCGGGTAACAAGGCCTGGCGGCATGGCTGAGATTTCAGAGGTCTGTGACATTTCGTTCCCTTCTGTCACCTCGGCTGATGAGCTCATGCCACTGAAGGCACCTTCCATCTTGGTCACTGTTCCCTCAAGAACACAGAGCCGCTCGGCCCTTCCGACAGAGCCGGGCTGGCGGCGCCCAGGGGCTGTTCTCTGTCTCAGGCACTGGGGGCTGTCGGGACAGTTTCCACTTGCTCAGGGCAGCGAAGTCCCCCCCTGGGGTGGATGCTGACAGTACATATCGGAGGAGCGCCAGGGCTGCTGCTGGGTTCTGATCAAATTCACGGGTGACCCCAAACGGGAGAGAGGGGGCATCTCGCGGGGAGGAGAGAGCCGAAGGGCTGAGGGACCCGACGGCGAGATGGGAGCAGCACGGCTGCAGGCAATGCGGGGAGGGATTGATGGTAAAGTCCTGCACCCAGGAGAGGAAAGAGACAGCCCAGAGACTGAATGGAGGATGGTACCCAGCAGCCACGCCCCGGGCACTTTACACTGCGGTCACTTCGCTCCTGAGCGCTGTTCGGCCCAAGCCCTCCAGCTGCTGCAGGGGAGAGGCTCGGCAGGGGGTGCCCAGGTGTTTGTGGGGTTGCTCTGCTAAAGCATCCAGCTCTTTGCAAGCTCTCCAAACAGACCTGGGCTGGGCACCCGGGAGGCAGCCTAGGAAGGCGCCGCCCCGGCCCTGAGTCACTCTGCTATGCCCGCGCCGTGCGGGGAAAGCCGCTCCGCTGGGCTCATCAGTACCTAATGGGGGGGCCTCGGAGTTGGAGGAGCTGTTGTGGGGGCGGGGTGGGGGGTTGGGGCCTTTCTTCATGTCTTCAGCATCGCTGTAGCGGCGGATCCAGTGGTTGAGCTCCTCGCGGTCGGCCTCCTGGCAGCGGCGCAGCACGGTGAGGGAGCGCCGCGTCTTCTCCACCATGTCCATGATGCAGTTCAGCAGCTGCCAGAGAGCAGGAGGGAGAGCACAGGTAAGGCCTGGGCACGGGGTACATGCTGGGGGGTAGCTGCACCAGTGCAAACCCCCGGGATGCATGTGCTGTCTCAGGGTAAGATGGGCTTGCACTGGTGCGTCTCACCCCGGTATGTGATGCATCTGTGCAAGCCCCAGTTTGCACCGGGGGAGCGTGTCTACAGCAGGTTTGTGTCTGTCCCGATTTGCA